ATGTGGCTGGTACCTTAGCCACTTGAGCCACAGGCGCCGAGCTGATGTTGAGCATCTTTGAGGAAATTGTTTTTTACAGTGTTTAAGAGTCCTACTGTCCACTTTTTCCTAAGACATACTTTGTCTTACTTTCTGTGTTTTGACAGGCCTTTTTGTTTTCATACAGGCACCAGTAGTTGTATTGCAGCCGGAACTTTCTAGCAGATCCTAACAGGATGTTTGGAAGCTGTCTCACAATTTTCCTAAGCTCCTGCCTACACATCACATGAAGGCAGCCACTGTTAAAATATGGTTAGATTCCATTAGGATACATTTTGCTATCACATTGAAGCCTCTCAAGAATCATTTCATCCCCATCAGGTATTATTACTAAGCAGTTTCTGGTACTGAACTTAAGAACCTTTAGGGGGTGCTCTTTGATTAAAAACATGTATCCCTCAAACCACTTAAATACAGTAGTAGTACATTCCAGGACAAAAAGTGACCTTTAGTTCTTTTAGAGAGGATTCCCCAGGCCTGCTTAGAATTGTTCTCAAGCCATTTCTATTGCAGGGGCTAATAATCCACTCATCACCTTCTATCCCAAGCACCCTGAGACTAATGCTTTTCCAGCTGTTGCTAACTACATGTCCTAATGAGTGCCCCATCCCCACCACACAGAAAGCCTCCTTCCCTAGTGGGGTGCTGGCTTCACTTGTATCCAGGAGCTGCCTATCCCACTGCCACATCCTTAAACTCGACCTTCCTGCAGCCACAAGCCCCAGGTCTCCCAAGCCCTCCTTCCTTCCTCGCTCCAGTTTGCTCATTTTTCTGCCAACTCTTCGTCATGTATTTCTAGGACTATCTGCTCACTTCGCAGCCCCTGCTTTGGGTTGAGATTTACCTTTCCGTTTATTCTGACTCCAAAGATTTGAAGTCATTTTGAAAAGTTGTCTCTTGCCTAAGTATACTAAGATATAACCTCCCTAGCATGGACTCCCAGCTTCCTAACTCTAATCTACATCTCTATTTCATAGTTACTTCTCCCCTACTTCTCGCCATTAAAAGACCCCTACATTTCTTTAGAAACTTTGCAGGACTAAATTCTTCTGTCATATAACTCAATCTTTGAAAAAAAAAAAAAAAACACTCTGCCGGGCTTGGTGGCTCACACCTGTAATCCTAGCACTCTAGGAGGCTGAGGTGGGTGGATTGCTTCAGGTCATGAGTTCGAGACCAGCCTGAGCAAAAGTGAGATCTTGTCTCTACTAAAAATAGAAAAACTGAGGCAAGAGGGTCGCTTGAGCCTGAGTTGTAGGTTGTGAGCTATGATGCCACAGCACTCTACCCAGGGTGACAGCTTGAGACTCTGTCTCAAAAAAAAAAAAAAAAAAAAAAAACTTAAAAAAGATTATACTTTCCAAAGATTTTACTAAAACATTTATTTTTAAACAAAAATATACAATCTCAGATTTACAGAATACAGAAATAATTTATCCAAAGCAATTTGCTTTTCAAAATTATTAATATTGCACCCAACAATATAAGACTTTGACACATTTACATCGTCAATCTTTCCCAAAATTCACAAAAGAGATCTGAAACTGACAGAATTACACAACTTTTCTGTAAAAATAAAAAAAAGGAAGAAACTTACAATTCTTCTCATTTACAAGCTCAAGAAAAATTGTAAACTTGCAGAAATTTACTTTCATTAAGAGCCATACATTCTTTCATCGTACCAAGAGAATGAACTATGTACAGGTTGTGATTTGCTCACAGGCATTCAAAGGGACTGATATTGTGAACCTTTGCGGCCCCATGGTAAAAAACGGAATTACTGAAAACACTAGAAAATGAAAAGTAGTGTGTGAGAGAATGAGAAAACCTTCTGCAAAAACTTACTTTCACCACGTTGAGGACCGTTTCCATCATCACCTGAAGTTATATCAAAATTTAAAATGACACATTGTTCCCCAGTTGTAGAAATCTGGCTCCCAATAGCCTTTTCTCTCAAGATAACGAGTAAAAAGGAGTGAGGTCTCTGGTCAAGTCCCTTTTGAAACACTTTCCATATAGGCAGGCACAAAGTTTGCTTTCCAAAAGAAAGCTTCGCAAAATGTTCTGCAGTTTACCACTGATATCCTCAGTTTTTTAAAAATTGGGTTTTCTTTTTAAAGCCTACGTATATTTAGATGCATTTATAAAAATGAGCATAGAGAATGAAGTCGCTTGGTACTGCAGGAAATTGCTACAACAGTATCCCATAGTCAAAGTGTGTGATGTGCTATTTAACCTGGTAGTAAACCAAAAACGGACTGAAACTTTACACTTACGGAACTGGAAGTCATTTTTTTCCTTGATGGTACAGAATTATCAAACCATTAAGTTTATGAGAAGATGAGACCAGGAAACCATATGGCCTATTATCAACTTTGAAAAAAGTCATCGGACCATGTGGCTTCCGTGCGGTGAACATTCATGAGTCTTCCGTCATTACTCTTATAAATAAAATTTAAAAACTGTTAAGAAGAGGGCTTCTAGGGTGAAGAGGAATCTGGGGGAATTGAAGCTGAAAATCATAGTCAGAAAAGTTTAACTGTAATATGGTCACACAATCCCATTTGAAATGAAATTCAACACACTTTCTAATTCTGTTGCCCTGGATCGAGACTGGATTAAAATGTTCCCTTTGAACATAATGGACATAACCGGCTGTATGACAGAGTTTCTTTTTCTTGAGATAGTTTCACTTTGTCACCCTGGATACTGTGCGGTGGCGTCAAAGCTCACAGCAACCTCAAACTCTTGGGCTCAAGCGACACTCTTGCTCACCCTCTGCTTTTGCCCACCCTTCTGAATAGCCCTGCACCCTCAAAGGCCCGGCTATTTTCAGAGACTGGGTCTCGCTCTTGCTCAGGCTGGTCTGGGACTCCTGAGCTCCGGCGATCGCAGCGTCGGCCTCCCAGAGGGCTGGGATTCCAGGCGTGAGCCACTGCGCCCCGCCTGCGTAATAGAACTTTTTAAAAAGTATCCTTTCTTTGCTATTGATTAATAGACCAGCCCAAGCAGCTTGTTATAAAGGTTATTGCCTTTAACATCTTTGCTACAAATTCAATGAACAACAAAAAGTCCTGAGTCTTTTCATTAAAAAATAGCCATCTCCTTTGCAGGGCGGGGGGCGCCCCATCAGCTCTCCACTGTCCGCCTGTACTCGGCTGTGCCCTCGGCCACGATGGCATCGAGGGGCGAGCGCTTCTTGCGGATGCTGCGCCCGGAGGAGATGAGGTCGGCGTAGCCCCGCTGGTGCGAGAAGGCGTAGGCCGAGCGGCGCGACGACACGCCCCGGCGGAACACGTTCTGCCGCCGCTTCCACTGCTCCTCCGCCTTCAGCCGCTTGCGATGCTTCTGGATCTGGAAGCAGGCGGGAGATGGGAAGGTCTGTGACACAGAGGAAGCCTGGCCCAAAGGAGGTGGCCCGAACCTGACCCTCATGGACCATCTACAACCAGGCTTCCCCAAGGCCTGTCTCATTCTGTCGTGGGCATCCCTGTCCCCACTTTGTAGACCGCTACAGGTGGGTAGGGTCGTGAAGGGGGGTGTAGGGGAACAGTACTGCATACACTAGTCACTCCGAAAGGGACACCTGGTGTGTGTGTGGGGGGGGTAGGGGTGGCGATGGCTGATGGTTGCCTACCCACCATCAGCTTATTTCTCTTATTTCTAGGAAACTGGTTTTATTCCATTCCTCCCTCCCTTCACAGCCACATTCCTCAGAGGCCGTGGGACTGATTTTCCCTGCTAGGTGCTAGTCCAAGAATGGGCTTGTGACCTAATTCTGGCAGATGAGATCTGAATGAGGAAGGTGAGCTGGGGCCCTTGTTGGAGAAGTTTCGAGGTTCCTAAGGGAATGCCACAGAAGAGTCTCTTATCTGTCCCCGCACACGGGCGGCAGGCTGGGAACTGCCGTGGCAACCTGCCAGCTTCCAGATGAAGCTAATCATGAGGACAGCAGGGCAAAGTGATGTGAAGAACCTGAGTCTTTTTTATTTAGTTAATTACCTTAATTTTTAATTAATTCATCCATCCCTCCATTTGCAACAGAGTCTCATTCTGTCACCCTTAGTAAAGTGCGGTGGTATCATAGCTTATAGCAACCTCAAACTCTTGGGCTCAATCAATCCTCCTACCTCAGCCTCCCAAGTAGCTGGGACTACAGGCTTGTGCCACCACACCCAGGTAATGTTTCTATTTTTAGTAGGGATGGGGTCTTGCTCTTGCTCAGGCTGGTCTCACACTGGAGAGCTCAAGCAATCCACCTTGACTGGTCTCCCAGAGTGCTAGGATTATAGGCATGAGCCACTGTGTCTTGCCATTTATTTTCTGATAACATTAATCAACTGACCCTACCGCCCGCTAAAGATGATGTGAGTTGAAATGACACATTATTGTTGAGACATGTGAAGTCAAAGTTTTTTGTTACCGCAGGTGACATTTTTCTAAAATAAATAAATAAAACCACTTGCTTGCATGGCAAAATGGTAACAATGTAATTGTTAAACCAAGGAGACACATATGTGGGCTCTGATTATTCTAGTCTCCCTTTCTGTTTATATTTGGAGATCTTGTATTAAAAAGAAAATAAAAATCCTAGTCTTCAAAAGACTTATTTGTAAGATGGAGTTTAAGAAAGAAGTGAGGGCATGGTGGATCACTCCTGTAATCCTAGCCCTCTGGGAGGCCGAGGTGGGTGGATTGCTTGAGCTCAGGAGTTCTGACCAGCCTGAGCAAGACCCCATCTCTAAAAAAAATAGCTGGGGGGCAGCACCTGTGGCTCAAAGGAGTAAGGTGCCGGCCCCATATGCCAGAGTTGGTAGGTTCAAACCCAGCCCCAGCCAAAAACTGCAAAAAATAAAAATAAAAATAAAAAAATAGCTGGGCATTGTGGTATGCCTATAGTCCCAGCTACTTGGGAGGCTGGGGCAAGAGGATCCCTTGAGCCCAGGAGTTTGAGGTTGCTGTGAGTTAACACATCACAGCATTCTACTCCAGGGCAACTGAGTGAGACTGACTCTAACTAAAAAAAAAAAAAAAAAGAAAGAAAGAAAGAAAAGGGATTAGCACCTGTAGCACAGTGGTTACAGCACCAGCCACATACACCAAGGCTAGCGGATTTGAATCCAGCACAGGCCAGCTAAACAATAGCAACTGCAACAAAAAATAGCTGGGCATTGTGGCAGGCACCTATAGTCTCAGCTACTTGGGAGGCTGAGGCAAGAGAATCGCTTAAGCCCAAGAGTTTGAGGTTGCTGTGAGCTGCGACGCCAAGGACACTCTACCAAGGGCGACGTCATGAGACTCTGTCTCAAAAAAAAAAAAAAAGTAAAAGAAGTGGTCAGAGAACGTATTCTTACCAAACCTTCCCATGAGCTTAGACTTCTGCAGAAAGGGGGCTGTTGGGAAATGCTTTGATTTCTGTGAGGGACACTGAGAGTTGCGGGAGGAGCTGTATTTGTACATACCTTATCACTTTCTGACGGCCAGATGGTCATTGACAAGAACCGTATGGCAACGACGGGCAGTAAGCACACCGCCACGGTCAGAATGATCGTCAGCCAAATGTATGGCTGCCTCAGGGCATTTGAAGCCGTACCTGTAAAAACACAGGGAGTGAAATCATGGTGGTCCTTTCATCCTAAGGGCACAGTCAATATTCCACAACCCACAAATGAACTATTTATGGTAAAGATTTGCAAGCAGACTGGCTTCTCCCAAACATCCCTTCACTGCTCAAGGAATGGACATTTTGAAATGAGATGAAGCAAAGCAGAATTGGGCAGGGAAATCATCTGGAACAAGGTGAAAACAGAGGGCTGAGCACACAAACAAGGGGGGAAATGAATAAAAGCATGTTTGTTGATTAAAAATGCCAAATTAGGAAACCTAGACTTCTGAATTTTTTCAGGAATTTAAAAAAAGCACTTTCCAGTTCATAGTTTTGCTTTGGAACTCCAAATATTAGCAATCAACACTAGCCCTGCCAGTACCAAGTGTTTTATAAAGAGCACGTCATTCAATCAGTTCTGAGAGATGGGTACTGTCCTCTGTGCCTAAGGAAGAAATGGAGTTTTGGAGAATTTGCCCAAGGTAACAAAACTAGCTATGGCAGTGCCTGGTGCCAGGCTTTCCCCCTGCGATTTGGTTTCTGAGTTTTTATGTCAGAAGTTGTAACAATTGAACTCTATAATACAATCACATATCTAATTTTTAAACTATACTTAACATTCCAGCCAAATTTATCATAATGTTTTCTGAACTTTCTCTAATTTTGTAAAACTAATGGCCTTTATATGTCAGATGTAGTGTTTATACTGCTAAATGTGGATGGGTCTGCAAAATACTCCCTATGGGAATATTCTAAGTAACTGGGTTCTAAATTTTTGAAATGCAGAGTCAGGAAAGAAAAAACCAGGCTTTTAAAAAAAAAAAACTCTATTCCAAGAAGAAAAGGATTACCACAGCAACTATCTTTTTACAATTCAACAACCAGTCATTTAAAAAAAAAAAAACCCTAATCTTTTATGAGAAAACAAGTTTATAGGTTTTTATCTTAACTATGAACCCAAGCTCTCTATGCAAAATAAGAATCTCATAAATTCCAGTTCATTTTTATTTTTATTTATAATATTTTTGATATTTGTAATATTTATATATCGGTTCAAATTCATTCTAGCTTTTTTTTCTTTTTTTTTTTTGAGACAGAGTTTCATTATGTCACCCCCAGTAGAGTGCTATGGCATCACAGCTCACAGCAACCTCAAACTCTTGGGCTTAAGCGATTCTCTTGTCTCAGCCTCCCAAATAGCTGGAACTACAGGTGCCTGCCACAACACCTGGCTATTTTTTTTTGTTGTACTTGTCACTATTGTTTAGCAGTCCTAGGCTGGGTTTGAACCCACCAGCTCCAGTGTATGTGGCTGGTGCCCTAGCTGCTAAGCTACGGGTGCCAAGCCTAGGTTTTTTGTTTTTTTTTTTTTAAGAGACAGAGTCTTGCTCTGTAACCCTGGTAGAGTACAGTATCGATCCTTCTGCCTCAGCCTCCCAATTACCAGGGGGAGCAGGCATGTGCCACTTTTTCTATTTTTAGCAGAGATGGGGTCTCCCTTTTGCTCAGGCTGACCTGGAACTTCTAAGCTCAAAGGATCCTTCCACCTCAGCCTCCCAGAGTGCTGGGACTGGCATGAGCCACTGTGCCCGGTACTAGCATTTGTTAATTCATCATGAATTTTATACAGTTATAATCGTTGGTCATGTTACAATTTTTTTTCCATCAGTTTACTTATTGCTCAGCAGACATATTTCCAAATTCCATCATATTGGTATTTTGTACTCTTTTTCTTATTTGAGACAAAGTCTCACTCTGTTACCCTGGGTAGAGTGCTGTGGTGTCATAGCTCCCAGCAACCTCAAACTCTTGGGCTCAAGCGACCCTCTTGCCTCAGTCTTCTGAGTAGCCGGAACAGCAGGTACCCACCACAACGCCTGGCTAGTTTTTCTATTTTTATAGAGACAGGGTCTCAACCTTGCTCAGGCTGGTCTCAAACTTCTGAGTTCATGTAATCCACCTGCCTCAGCCTCCTAGAGTGCTAGGATTATAGGTTTGAGCCACCATGCCCCACCAGTATTTCGTAGTTTGATTAGCTAATTTAATAGCTTAGGTTTTTGTATTACTTCCATTTTTTTTCCTTTTCACAGTTAGAAATGTCCTAGTGTGGCTTGGTGCCCGTTTCTCAGTGGTTAAGGCATTGGCCACATACACCAGGACTAGAGGGTTCAAAGCCAGCCTGGGCCAGCTAAACAACAACAACAA